CAAGCAGGCACCGACTCCCGCACAGGAGGGGGGGGGGGGGGGGGGGTTTGTCTCGCTCTTCGCGTCCTTAGAAGATGTCATCATCATCGCTGCCGAAGAGACTGGTCGGCTTGTTGGCGGCCGGGGACTTGAGGACCGACGCCGAGCGGCCCGGGCGCTTGAGCATGGAGCTGGTCCGGGACCGAGCAGCGGCGGCGGTGCCGGCACGCGGCGACGCGCCCGTGTCGAAGGGCGCATCATCCTCGTCATCGGTGTCGCCGAAGAGGCTGGTCACCCGGGGGCCGGTGGCCTTCGGCTGGGTGGCATTGAGCCAGTCCATGTCGTCGTCATCATCGTCGATCTTGCTGCTGATGGCGGGCGCGGGCGCGGGCGCGGGCGGCTCCTCGGTGGGCTCCTCCGCCGCTGCCTCGTCCTCCGGGACCTGCTCGGCGGCGACAGCGGTCGCGGCCTCGGGCAGGGGCTGACTCCAGGGGTCCATGACCAGCGGGTCCATGGCCGGCGGGAGCTGGATCGGGGCCGCCGCCGCCTCCGCGTCATCCTCGACCACGGTGGTGGCCGCCGAGAGGGAAGGCGCCGGGGCGGTGTCCTCCTCGTCATCGGAAGAGAAGAGGGAGCTGGCGGCCGGCGCGCTGGCGGCCGGAGCAGCGAACGGGTCGCCGGCCTCCTCGGCATCCGAGTCGGCCACCGACAGAACCGAGGCCGACTGCAGGGCCTGGGCGTCGCTCAGGGTGACGGACACCGCATCGCCGAAGGGGTCAGCACTGGCATCCTCCTCCTTGTCCAGGGTGTCATTCGACAGGTGGTGGTCGTCGCTGCTGGTGGCGATGTCCTCATTGACGATGTCAAAGGGCGAGGAGGTGGCATTGGATGCGCCGTCCGACGAATGGGCATCGCCGCCGGCGGCCAGCGGATCCTCCTCGGCGGGCTCGGGCTGCTGCTCCTCCGCCTCATCGGCGTTGACGCCATCATTGCCGTCGTCGCTATCAAACAGGGCGGCAGCGGCATCCTGCGCAACGTCCTCGTCACCCGTGTTCTCGGCAACAGGAGCAGGCAGGTCTTCCTCCTCCTCCTCCTCCTCCTCGTCATCGTCGGAGTCGAAGAGGCTGCTCTTGGTGGTCACGGCAGCGGCGGCCGATGAGAAAGCATCATCATCATCGTCATCGCTCTCGATGGTGGCGGCGGCCGCGAGGCTGGAGAAGGACTCCTCCTCGGCCTCCTCGGTGATAGGCTCGTCGTCGTCCTCCTCGGCGAGGGGCTCATCGTCGGCCTCCTCAGTGATAGGCTC